CACATTTTACAAGTAATAAGGCTTAATTGTCGTTTTAGTGTCTTGTCGTTTCAATGGCCTGTCGTCTTATTTAACTAGCACCAATTTTGTTCCAATCATTGAAAATGGGGAGAATTTGTATTCGCGAGTTATAATTTTTTTCCACGCAAATCATTGGACTTCAAATCATTGTTTCAAATCATTGTTTCTTGGTTGACTTAATTCTGATTTGTATTTGACAAATTATTCTAATATTTCATCCTTTAAAAAACAACTTCAAGTCTAAACAAGATGTTTTGTTTCAATGTATTGTCCAAATCTACCGCAATTGCCAAACATCAGTCCAAATTTGCAGTTTTCAAAAGCTCATCCATTTAAACAAAACATCAAAAGTTAGTATTTTTTGAGCTCTAACCATTAAGATCTTTAATACTTGATGTATTACAATATATGACAGGTTAACTTTCTGCGGAAGCCAACCCGTTCCTCTGTGTCTTTAATGTTGTACCATCCAGTCTGTGAAAAGCGATAGAAACAAAAAAGTACACAGTAAAGATCTAAAAAAAGACTACTTTTACTTGCAGATGAACCGACAAATCGAAAAATAAAAAACTTCAAAACACTGTTTACAAAACCCCAAACCTTAAAACCAAATTACTTGCAAATTTGGAAACTTTACAAACAGAGGTGAATCAAAGCTTCGCACTACTTGTGACACGACACATGCAAAGCATGACAAACTAAACCGACAGAAATACCATAGAAAAACGTCAAAGTTCTTTTGAAAAGAATTGAAAATTATCTATCAAAACTTTACCTACATTTGTTTTAATTTTATCTTGAATAAAAATTCCTTTAAAAAGATATGGCAAAAGGTAAGACAATTGATTTTCAATAAGCATCGAAACAAACCTTACAAATTGGCAGCAAAGCCGACGAATCTTGCATAGAAAAAAATGTTTTCATTATAAAAACAAAAAACAACTTCAAGTCTCCCTGAAAACATTTAAAGAAAACCTTTTTGCTCCTCAAACGATTCACAAAGACGATTCCGAGCCAATATATTATAAGCTGAAACCTTTCATGTCGAATGAAGAGAAGAAGAAGAAGAAAAAAGATTTACTGAAATCGGAGTTGGTAAAATTACACAAAAATAAATTTAAACAAAACCCTTGCTAATCGCAAGGGTAAATAAAACCAACGCTTAATTTGCAGACAGAGTAGAGATCGAGAATAGAAAAATTTCAGTAATCCTGTGAAACCATTTGCTTACGGAAAAAGTCTACCCGATCGATTGCAACACCAATCAACCAATTCAGTATACGCCAATTCAGTATTCAGGCTAACATATCTGATTCATGACCCAGAGACACCATTAAGAGGCCAAACTGTGCACTGGAGAGGCGCACAATTTTGTGTCTGTATGTTCCTGGATTCCAGAGACAAGTCTTCAAACATATTAAAAACTTTGTCGGAAAGATCAAAGAAAATGAAAGAACAGAAGAATAAAGGGATCGTCCTTGCTGCGGAATCCGCTCACAATTTTCAAAATGCACAGTTTGGAATCTTAATGACGGGTTCGAATCGCGATGAGAACCAATTGTTTCTTGGTTGACTTAATTCTGATTTGTATTTGACACATTATTCTAATATTTCATCCTTTAATTTTGTACGAAACAATTTGTCAAAAACCGCTCACCACAAAAAAAGTTGTATCTTTACAAACTCAAGACAATGCTTAAAGAAGTCTGAAAAGAAAATGAGCCGTAAAAATAATGAGATTTGGTTGGAAAATGTTTTTAACCCACGGACATCCAAACTGCGAGTCATTTTCCTTCACTACTAACCCAACCGCCTAGCTGCACGATTAAATAGCACATTTTATAGTAACTGCCAGGCAGCAATGATTGTTTTGAAAACGCAGACAAGCTTCTAAATTGCATGCCAATTAGAAATCAAGCACTTTAAAGATATACTAAAAACTAGCAGAAAACTAGCGTTTAACGCACCGTCGCTGCTTCGAAATTTTTCGACAACTCATGAAAAACCGCATATATAAGAAACAACATCTGCAAACTTTCAGTGTACTCTGACTGCACCCAATTACAGGGTTGGTAATTTCGAACTTAAAAATTTTTTTAAATCCCATTTTAAAAGCGTCATCACGAAAACTTAATGGGCCTCTGGAGAAAATTGGCGGCCAGATTTTCAACCTCGGAGAGTCCCTGAGAGCAACCTACTATAGGGTTAGGAATCCACAATTTGTGAATTGTTTTAAACCTAAGTTTCCCGAAAAAAAATTGAAAAAAAACGCCTTATCTCGGAAACTGAAAGGAATTGAGCATTCATATTAAGAGGCAAGATTTGAGACACCTGGGTATACGCTGACAATAAGGTTGTATCTTCATCAAGTTAGTAGTTTCAAATTTTTTGAATTTCTTTGTAGATAAGTTCTTTTAGAAATTTTTAAAAAATCACAATAAAACGCCATGTCACGAAAACTACAAAACAATTGAGCAGTCATATTTGGAGGCAAGATTCGCAATCTTTGTGATTACTGTGACAGGACAAAACTACAGGGTTGGGAATATCAGATTTTGCGAAAAAAAAATAATGTAAGTTTTCTGAAAATTTTTTGAAAAAATCACAGAAAACATCATATCTCGAAAACTACAAAGAAATAAGCAGTCATACTTGGAGGCAAGATTCGCAATCTTTGAGAGTACTCTGATAGAAACCAACTACAGGGTTGGGAATTTCAGATTTTGCGAAAAAAATTAAAATAAGTTTTCTGTACTTTCGCTCAAAGTACAAAATATAATCCCCTTTTAAATTTAAGTCAATTTATTTTTCTCCTCTGCTATTTGATATTGGAGAGCCTTATTTGCCTTCTATTCAGCAAATGATATTCAATTCACCAAATGATTTTGAAGTGAATTTAAAAAATTCGAACTTCAAACTGCCAAAACATAAAATTGAGCGTGAATGACTTTTAAGACCTCTTCCTGAAAAAAAAAAATAACTGAACATTGCTTCGTTCATTAACATTCGAAAAACTTAAGCTAAGCTTATGCTCCGCTCGCTTAAAACAGACAATGGTGATTTCGATAATATTTTGTTACGTACAATTTCCAGAACAGCACTCGTTGACATTTTTACCGGCCTATTACGGTTGTTTGGCCAATAAGACCAAACTTTAAGACGACAACCGCTTTTGGTGGGACTTTAAGACGACACTAAACGCAATTCTCCACATTGTATTTTTGAGAAATATAAACCGCTTAAATTCAAACTGCATATTTTACAAGTAATAGGGCTTAATTGTCGTTTTAGTGTCTTGTCGTTTCAATGGCCTGTCGTCTTATTTAACTAGCACCATTTTTGTTCCAATCATTGAAAATGGGGAGAATTTGTATTCTCGAGTTATAATTTTTTTCCACACAAATCATTGGACTGGATGGAGTGATACATCATACTAAAACCCTTTCAGTCGTGATTCGAACGACACTAAGAAACTTCCAAAAAAAATCTCAGTGTCGAGAAAAACCGGTATAAAATTTAATTTCGACCAAAAAAAGTAATGATAACCTGTTTAATTGGTCATTTAAGCAAAGAAAAATTGATTCATTCAAACGAAAACTGGTTTTAAAAGCTATATTTGGCACTTCCCGGGCAAGAAAAGTTTTTACAAAATTTTTTTTAAATGTGCAAAAAAAATAGAAAACAATTCAAAATATTTTTTGTTTGTTATTACTTATTTGAAAATAACTTATGCCTAATTATGCCTAATTTATTAACTTTTTACGCTTGTGTATAGTGTTCTCATCAAGCCACCTACAAAAAAAACTTCACTAGTTTGAAGAACTTAAAAATCTGAAGAACTTTAATTTGTAGTTTTTTTGATGAATATGGTCGGAACATTCTGTGCTTGCACATCAATCGGTTATCCTTGTTTTGTTTGGACTATTTGAAGACAGTAACGAAATATATGCACGGAAACTTCCCACATTCAGTCGCCTCGAAAAACCATTGATATCAAAGTAAGCTGAGTAAATTTCGAGAACAGTAAAAAAATTTCGAGAACAGTAAAACAAAATTCAAAAACCAGACTAATTTGACTAATAATTTCGACTAACAGTGGTCCCCGGAATAATTTGACTCTTCCGATGACCATTACTTTTTGTCAAAAAATTGAGCGCAGCAGACTATGCGGAGTAGCTTCTCACTTTCTGTTCTTACGATTGAACCCAAAATCTCAGATTCAGATATGGGACCATAGTTTAAAAATTTTAAAACGGTCAAAAAGTTATAATTTGACTATTCAGAGGACACTAAGAAAAATTGGGTGGAGCCGCTTATGCAGGGGAGCTTCTCACAACTTGTTCCGCCCATTGAACCCAAAATTTCAGATTTGGGAGGGTAGTTTTTGAGAAAACGAAAAACAATCCAAAAGTTTGGCAAAGACTCCCCCACAAAGTTTTTGGAATGCTGTAGAAAGGGAGGTTGAGGCAAAATGACTATAAGGGAATATGCAGGCACACAGGGGAGTTGGCTTTCATTCCACTGGAACCACTTTTTAAATAATTGTTTGAAAAGATCTTGAAAAAAATGGAATTTTTTGAACACTTTTTCCAAAGCGTTTAAAAAATACATAAGAAATTCAAAACCAATTCATTTTCGTAATACCAGTTTATATCAAACGGAATTTAAATCCTCATTTTCATTGAGACTAACCCTGAACTTAACTGAAAACGTCTTTGCTGTTAATATACTCTAACTTTGGAAGAGCGCGTTGAAAAATCGGTTTTATTGTCAAATCTATCAAAATTGCTCGGAGAAAAATTTACTTCCTGCTATCATAATTGCTCAATATATTATTATTAAATATAATTATTCAATGCTCTGCTTCAACAGAACTCAAAGCAAATTCCAAAATGCCCAGAAGTTCTTGTGGACGCGACTGAACTGACTGCTATGAGTTTTTTAAAATTAGCCTACTAAATGATCTCAGCTTAAAAAAATCGAAGCACCAATATAAATTATGACTGATTTTGTAATTTACAATGATAATTCTAGTGACTTAACAATTTATACATTTTATACTCAAAGGGAAAAGAAAATGCCGTTTCATCATTATTATGCACCCTAACTATCACAAAAGGAAAATTGCAGTTGCTAAAATGTTCACAGTTTCATGGAAAGTTAGCTGAGCTACACCATTAGAATCTGTCCTTCACAACATTTACAATTGGAAAAGTGCCTGCTCAGATTTTCATTCTGCTCTGAGGTTGCAATGGATACGCTTTTGACAGTTTCTAGCGCCTCTATCATCTTGTTCCTGATTTCTTTATTCAACATGGCCGCATTATTCGGTGTGTTCTCTGAAATTTCAGTCCCATTCTCTTGTGCTGTCAGAAATTCAGCCACATTCGGCTGTTGCACAACTTTGTTGCCATCATTGTTTTCACCCTCAGTGCCTGTACCCTCTTCTGTAGATGACAATTGAGTCTGCTGATGATGTTGTTGAGTGGTAGTCGTGGTTGCCATGGTAAGAATACTTGTGAGCAAGTATTGCAAACTATTCACCTTCTCTGTCAGACTTTCTTTCTCGTGCATCATCTTCTCAATGCACTCCGACTTGGATCGATCTCTGTTTTTCATTGCTTCTCTCTGCGCATGATACATGTAAATATAGTCTCCAATCGTGTCGTTCTCGCCTGCCAGTTTGGCATTTGTAGTCTCCAGCTGATGATTCTGGAAGCGTAGCACCTCGCACTCTTTGCCCAAGGCCTGCATTTTCACTTGCAGCTTTCGATAATTATCCATTAAAGACTTGCTCTCGCTAGACGAAACTGCTTTACTTTGTTCCATTGTCTTTTCTTCTTCCTCTATCTTGGACTCCAATCTTTCGATGACTGCAGTCTTCTCGGTAAGTGCCTTTTGCAATGCTTCAACCCTCTCTTGCTGCTCTCGTGTTTCAGTTTCTTTTCTCGTTTCTGCTTCATATATCCTAGCAGTCAAGTGTGATATATCCAGCTCTCTAGCATCACAAGTAGCTTTCAGCTGTTCCAACTCGGCGCATTTGTCCTTCAAAGTCTCCACAGTATTCATACTTCCTTCACTTGTCTCTGTTCCTGTTTCAGCTGTCGTTGTTGAACAATATTCTTCCTCTGTGTTTGTCTGAACGTCTCTCAGCTCAACTGAAACCTCCGCTGTCAGCTCCTCGGAAATTTCGTTCTCCATAGGGTCTACGCCAATGTCTGAGAATGCTCTTTTTTCTCCGTCCTCAAACCCTTCAGTATTCGTCTCTGTTGATACCTTTTGCACATTGCTAATGGCTTCCAAAGCAGATTTGCTCTCTTCAAACTCTTGTTTTATGTTTTCCAATTCATTCTTGGTAAGAAACAGTTCTTGCAGTGTCGAATCGTACAATTCTGCCTTGCTTTCCAGTGTGTCCACCTTGTCTTGCAATGTTTTTGCCTGCGCAGAGAATTCATCTCGTTTATTTTCACTATCTTCTAACATCTGCTTAAGCTCTGCATTCTGACTCAATGCTCTGCTTATTGTCACTCGGTCGATTTCCGATCTCTCCACCAAAGTGGCCTTGTCTGAATTCTGTGACTTCAATGCTTTGTTCTCTTCTTCCAATTGATCTATTTGTTTCGTTAGCCTACTCAGAGCTGCTGACAATTTCTCGGTCTTTTTATGGCCAGATTCTATCTCCGACAACAGGTATTCTTTTTCTAGTATCAATTGCTGATTCTTCGAACTTAACTCAGCGACATCGCTTTTCAACATGTACTTTGCCTCCACGCTTTGAATTGCCTCGCTCAATTCTTCCACTTGCTTGGCTAAGGAAGACTTTTCTGAAGTAAGGCTTTCAATTTTTTCTTTCAAACCGAAAGCTTCGCTTTTTAGCTCACTTTTTTCTTTGTCATGCAGGGCTCTTTGGTTCTTCAACTCTGCTTTCAAGCTGTTGTTTTGAGTTTGACTCTCGCGCGCAGTTTCTTTGGTGTTTTCTAACTGAGCCTGCATCTTTTCCATCTCAAATTTTGCTTTCCTGTCTTTGCTTTGGCTATCTTCCAAATTCATTAATGACACTCTATGCTGCTTTAAAGATAAATTTGCCAATTCCAAAGAATTTGTCATCTCTTCGTTTTTAATCTCCAGGTTATGCACTGCATTATTTTTCGTGAGTAATTTCTCCTGAATCTCTTCGATTATTTCTTTTCTTTTCTCCAGCTCACTTTCGAGAGCTTTATTTTCCTTTTTCAGCTTCTCTTGGCTTTCTTGGAACTCTCCGATTTGGTCTTCTAATTTCTTACGATACTCGATTTCCAGATTATACTTTTTCTCTACCTCTTGGAACCCATTCTGCATAGATTGTTGGTATGTGGTAAGCTGTTGCGTATAAGCTTCTGCATTTTTCGTAAAATGTTCAGTATAGTAGGCTTTAGTCGCATCAACTAAAGATTCTAACTGTGTCTTTTCACTCATAAGTCGACTAATTGTACTTACAGCCTCCGTGAGTTCCTGCTTCAAAGTCATAATTTCCTCTGCGCTGTCAAACTGCATCGCGGGCATGATTTTAGTATTCGGAGTAGGATTAGGAGGAGGCAGTGACGCCATCACATACCCCTGGCTTTCGTTAAAGTTAGAATGATGACTTCCGTATACATTATTTAAGTGATCTGAGAAATAGTCGGGCTCTGCAGGTAATGGCGAGTTAAAACGACCAGGAGAGTTCGCAACTAAATTTCCATTTAATGACGAATTTGATGAAAGATGGTGATTTTCATTCACGGAGTCTTGTTCAGAAGGAACTGCTCCCTTACTTTTCTTGTACTGCTTCAGCTTCTTTCGCGCAAGCTCTAATTTCTCACTTTTGGTGCTCATGCTGCAAGTCACTCTAAAACACATAATTAAAAGGAAAACGTCGATCGGATTTTAGGCTTAAAAGTATCCTATATGAACTGACAATATTAGCAAATATTGGCACAGGTAGAGAAAATCTAATTGAACGTTTTTTACTGCCAAAATGTAGTAGTACTAGTAATAGAATAGGCTTTTTGGTTGACCAAAATTTCAACAGTCTGGAAAATAGTGCAGAGTGAGCAGAAAAAAACTGCAGAGACTCCATAAATGCAGAACACAGAGGCCAAGCGGAGCTTCACATTACTTGCGATACAAAACAAGGCCGCCGCTAAGCCAAAAAAAGAACGAAAAAGTCTAAAAAACAAGATCTATCAAAATGAATAAGGCTAGCTAAAAACTAAGAACGTGCCAAACCAATAGAATGTAAAATTAGCATCAAAGAAAATTCACCAAGCAGTAACAAAGCCAAAAATACCTTAGCAGAAACCCTTAAAGCGAAACAACTTCAACAAAAAACCTCAAAACTTTATTATACCCCCGATCATCCACACACCAAAAAAAACTTCATTCGTCTAATGAAATAAAACGACTCCACTGGACCGATAGAATATAGGCCGAATTCTATTAAGCCGAACAAAACAAAGAAAATTAAAATTGGAAAGTCCCCTCACCCTCAAAACACACAGACACAAACAAAATTGTGACATTCGACCAGAATGTACGAAAATGCAAAGTCGGAATTCGAATTTTTATTGTGACATCTGTAACATTCGCCCGGAATTACATATCGACGGAAAATAAAGCTACGTTCTAAGACGACTGGCCAACGTCTAAACAGAGCTCTACATGCTTTTCACCGTCTCTACCAAAGCTAGTTCTTTTGGTGGTCTTTCTAACATCGGGTCGACAAAAACAGTACTGTTCTCTGGCTTCGACCAGAACGCTCAAACTAACTTACTTACATGCAAAATTAGTGAGCATGGCAGGATATCAGAATTCCCAGACCACTAGGTCACTCCTAAAAACAGGGCTACTACTATTTGTTATATTATTATTGTTTTTGTTCAGTAGATAAAAGTCATCTCCATCGAACATGGATCAACCATTTCCCTCAACTCCTAGCTTCTCATCGTCAGAAAATGAATTCAGATGTTAAATAAATTCAATTCAGGACATAATCGGGAAGCTAAAAGTTTGTATAAAATGGTTTAAGTTCAAGTCCCGAGACCCCTCCGGATTCCTGAATCCGGGGAAATAACACCCTTATTTCCTCTCCGGAAGGCTGGTTTTTACCCTTCACCGTTGTTGTGAATGGCCTTGCAACGATTGTAGCGACACAATTGTTGCAACTCGGAGCGGTCTCTGCTAACTCTGCTATTCGTTCAATTCTCGTTATTATTTTTAATCGCGATTATCGTTGTTGCCGCCGTCGCAACTATTGTTGTTCTTCTGTTTCTATTTTGGATTTCTTCCAAAATGGCCGTTTTTGACGTTTCTCAGAATTGTGACGTCATCATTCGAATTTTTAAAAATTTAAAATATCAGAATATTCTAGCCTTCACGATTCGTCCACTCGTCTGAATAACACTGTTAATCCTCTAGAACTGTCAATTCGGAAGGTTAGCTGCTAATAATCCGAAATTGCACTTTCGTCCATACTGGTCGAATGTCACATACTCCCCGGACAGCCCGGTCAATGTCCCCATTGAATCTCGCAATGTTCGTAAAAATGGTACAGTGCCATCGAACAGAATTTTAAAAATGCACGAAATTACTTTTATCCACGTCATATCGACTCACTGCAGAATATAAATGGCATCATACTACACTACTATAGCCTTCCAAATTCTTTCACTAATCTGCACTTTGAGGATATGACCTAAGATAAAACAATTTTTCTGGCTTCCAACGTCAATGCCCTGATTTTAAAACTTTTTCTCCTAGGTTTTAAAAGGTGTTAGTTTGCTGGACAGTCCTATCAACCAACAAGCTAAAATTATCCTTTTCCTAGTCTTGAAAATTAAAATTAAGGAACTCTGTGGTTAGAAAGAACAATGAAACAATCTCCTTGTTCAAGAGATTTCCCAAGCCTTTCATTGTCACCACAAAGTGATCAGTTGTCCTAGTTGAATAAAAACAATCATGCAGGTTAGAAAATTTAAATATACTCTTCATTCAAGCCTTTCTAAATAAATAGTAAGTGTCTCTAAAGCCACTAATTAAAATCAAAATACAAATTTATAAATGCAACAAAATCTTTAATGTTCAAAACTCAACTAAATATTTTCTTTCAGTTTCAATTACAACTTGGTTGCTTAGTTTCTCACTTGAGTTTTTTGTCACACATATAAATTAATTCTGAGTTTTAACTTCTTTGTTTCCTCTTTTTTCGTCGTTTAGAAGTTCTAAAACTTCTAAATTCTTCTAATTTCGTTTGTTTTTGCATCTTGTTCTTCGGCCATTTGTTAATGCTCCATCTCCTCCTACTGCGACATTGACTCTGCACTTTCAGTCTCTGTGTCTTGCAACACATCGGTAGCTATTCTGATGCTGTTGGAAGCAGTCCTCCAACACTTCTCCTCTTCTACCCTTTCTCTACAACAAGGTAGGGAGTCAACGTTAGATTCTCTGTTCCTGCAGAAGCTGATGTGGAGAAACAACGTCGCATTTCTCTCCAAATCTTCCTTCAACGTATCTTCTTTCAGACAGCTACCAGGTTTAACACAGTCCTCTGGTCCCCAGCCAGGCATCTCTACTTTGTCTTCTCCGTTGCTCCTAGAGGCTGTTGTCATCACGTTATAGATGATATTAAGGTCACGCAGACTATAATCTGAATTTTGTTCCCTCTGTACATCTTGTGTTGCATGTAGCATCGAATCAGCATTGGGACTAAGACACCATGAGGGTCTCATCAGTTCCCATACCACCATCAAGCTCGCTCTCAGTAATTCATCTGAGAATCCCAATCCAATTTCTACTTGTTTGTCGGATTTTGGCACGGAAGATGCAGTCATCTTTTCCTCCAAGACTAGTCCCAGCCTGGTCTGCCGATTAGCAGCGCTTCTTATCGTCGCAGTTCTAGACGTCCAGAATCTTAGCAACACTGCTGGCTCGTAATCAAAGAAGTAATCACGTATGTCTTCATTTAGGAATGGATTGTACGCTATCCCTATGATCCCTGACACGTAACTGTAGGACTTCTTCCTGATCGATCCACAGTATTCACTGGATTTCGGCATTGCTCCCAAAGATTTCTTAGTGAGCCTCAGCTCTTTGTTTGAAAATCTCCTGATTTCATCTATTTTCCTCATGGGTTCTAGTTCCATAGGTTCTTTCATGTTCACTTGCATTGGTTTGCTCTGATATATACCCATCAGTGCTAGCAAGAGTAAGGTTTTCGCTCGTTCATTGCCTTCTCCCAGCATCTTGACACAGGTGTTCAAGGCTGGCACTGAAAATTGCTCTATCATGAACCGGATGAAACGGAGAATGTCTCTCCGCTTCGCGCACGCTACTGCTGCTCCCTCTTGGATTATCAGATCTCCCATGCTCGTCATCAGGAAAACCTTGTCTTCCTTTGATCTTTTCCTTCCCTCTCAATCATATTCCCCGCGAGTCAGTCCGATCATGCACCAGGCGAACCGCAGCTGTAATTCAGTTCTCACATAAGGTACTGCTATCAAAGCGTGTATCTTCGGCGTGGTCCTCATTTCTTCCTCGAAGTACCGTAACTACTGCTTTCCATGGAAGGCTCACCAACTGCTCAATCGTCTCTGCCTGCATCTCAATGCTAGAGTCCAATATGTTTTCTGCTTGAGGGTGGTGCCTTGCATCATGGTCTCCAGATAACCTTCCATGGCACTTTTGTCTTCCAGAGTCATTAAGTGTACTCTGGCCGAGTTTCTGTGCTCCAACATCTCCATGTATCCACCGGCGGGTTCCTCTATTGATACAGTCTCCGACAGTGTCAGTCGGTTATATTCCACTGGGACTAGCTGTCCTACGACACTTCCCTTTCCGTGGTTCATGGGAGACGGTTTAAAATCTTTCATAGTACTCTCCCCACATTGGCTGAGTATATCTTTTTCCAATGTTGCTCCAGTCAGAGTGCGGTCACTCTGTTTGGATTTATAACCTGTTGATTTTATCCCTGCCATGAGAATGGGTGGCACCATCGCTACATCAGTCAACCTTCTGTCTGTGCCAGGCAATCGATCATCACCTTGTCCGAAATAGCTTCGTCGACTCGTTTTCTTTTCGCTGAGTTGACAACTTTTATCGAGATTTCAGAATCCACCTTAGTCTTTTCCGCTTTCCTCAATACCACTGTGCTGCCCAGCTTCATCTTCATTTCATTGATCTTATTGATCAACAATTTCGATCGCTTCGTTCCTTTCCTGGTTCTCGACAGATATACCACTTCTCCTTTATCTTCTTGCGGCGTCATCTTGATAGGAGAGTTTGCCTCACTTTCGTCAGTGGCTGACTCACTCAATCTCCCTTCACACTCGTCGAGTTTGTCAAGGACTTCCCGAATTATTGGTCGGTTGAGACCTACTTTCAAAGTGGACTGGGTTCTGTAGCTCTGAACTACTGTCCAGACTTCTTCCATAAAGGCCACTCTGTCCAATCTACATCCCGTCCTATTTTCATGGTCTCGGTGATGCACCTCCCACTCTTCTTTGGGTAACGTTCCCAAGAAGGCTACTCTGGCAGCGCCTTCTATCCTTCTTCTCCTTGGTGATTCCATAAGGAGTCTTTGTTCTCTATCCTTAGAATTTCCCGGAGAGCTGCTCTCCGGCAAATCCCAGTTCATTTCCACAAAAACCGACGGAGGTTCTAGTGACCAAGTACCTTCGTTTGCTGTTTCAATCGTTTCCAACGCGTCTGCGTTGTTTTCAAAGTCACTGAGGAAATTGAAATCTAGGCTGGATATTCCTCCTGTCCTTGCTTTATCGTCCTCCTTCTCAGCTTGATCGGGATCCTGTTGCATAGGTTCTTCCGATCGACGGCTTCCTCCCTACCCATCATCTCCTTCTGATCTGTCTTTCGAA